CTTTTACATAGCTTTGAATTGTAACTGATGATTGAATAAAATCAACTATATCAATATAAATTATGTGAAAAAATATTACTTTGGAACAATTTATTAATAACTAAAATAATAGTATTTCATTTACAAATTTATATAAATTAATACTTTGAGTTAACATTTCTTATACAGTAAAACCTTAACCTTATATATGTATATTATCCTATGACAATTTAATTTTAATTTTAAATTACTTCAACAATAAGAAATATTCCAAGATCTCAGTTATTTAAGTCACAATAATATAAAATACAATGATTATTTAATATGCAAAGTATTGAAAAATCTGCAAAACACACTTGAGAGAAACAGCTTAAGATAAAATAAAACATATTTCTTACAGAGAAACATTGAATGGAAAACAGTAGATATAGAAAAATAAGTAACCCAACATACCTGATAAAATATACATACAAGAAAGTGATGCAAATGTAATCATAAAGGAAGATATTGAGATATTTGAAAAGGGAAAGGAAGTAAAACAATCTGATAGTCAAAAGATATGTGATGGCAGAACTGATAATTATTACCTCAAGGCCTATAATCACTTGATCATATAAAAAGTATTATCACCTGGAACCATAAACATCCCTTTATATATACCTTTAAGCAGGGTATTTGCAGGGTATATTAATTTTGCGTTTTAATCTGTAAATTAAATCTTAGTTATAATTTAAGCTTGACACATCTAATATGAAATGTAACAATAGTTGAAATAAAAATAATCAAGTACACAATTAAATGAATAAGAAAAAAACTTAAATAAGAAAGAGAAGTTTATATTTACAAATAAATTATACATTAAAGTATATGTGACTTACTGTTTAAGACTTTCAAAAGAAAAAATATACAAGATAGATTTAGATAATAACAACAGTGTGTTTAAAATAATTCGCTTTTTAAAATGAATAAAAAAAGAAAGAAAAAACAACAACAAAATAAATAAAGGAACGAAATAGAAATTTAAAAGAATAGAAAATAATCAAACAAAAGACAAATTAAATAAAAAGGACGGACAACAATAACAACGTCATCGTAATAAATTGGCAGAGCGTAGGGTTTGAACCTATGAGTTCAAATCATCAAAACTTACAGTGACGTTGATTTACCACTTGAGCCATTACGATGGTACACATTTCTCTTTGAATAAAACTTCATGTATATTATACAATTGTAAACACTTCAAATCTTGAATATACGTAACCGCGCATTGTGGGTTATAGTGGCAGTGCATTGGGATATTTGGTTTGGATTAAATATGAAATTCTGAACGTACATGTATTTGTCAAAAGTATCCGTCAAAATAAAAAATAAATTTCCCAAAGATCCGACATTTTAAACACAAGCAAAGCACACCAGGAATTATTTTACGGTCCCTTTTATCAAATAATATACAAATCTTTTAAGATATTTTAAGACAATATTTCAAGAAATGTATTCAAAATTTAAATGCCTTAAATAACTATAAACATTGTATTTGGGAAAATATCTTTTCATCTTAGTTAAAGAAATAAATATACCATTTATGATTACCTTTCAAAAAAATTATTTTCTATTTAGGACGAGAAAAGAGAAGAGAAAATAAGAAGCCGAATTCGCCAGGTCAGTAACTTCATTCTGCTACATAAACTGATTCAGGAAAATATGGTTATAACTCGGAGACAATGATTTGCACGAAGAAAAAATATGAAATGACTTATAAAGGAAGGATTAATCAGCAACAACATTTTAAAACGGCTTATTTCCTTCGAGTACATCAACATATCTTTAACAAAAAGTCTTAAAATGGATCTGGGAAAAGTAAAAAACATACAAAAAAAAACGTGATAATCATTTTAGGGGAGTTAAGTGTTTACAGTTGTGTTTTTTTCTGTGAAATTTTGACTTTTAGAGTCAAGTGTTAATGTTAAGTTTGTGAATGTGTGCCTTAAACGAGAAAATGTGTATTTTGTCGGAGACTTGTTGTAGTTTTGGATGTTACTTTGACATGATTCGGATAATACTTATCTGATAAAAGAACGTTTAGGAAGGTAAGCTCATTTTATTTCAATGACATTTTCTTTTCTTTAACATAATTATCATTCTTTTACCCTCTATAATACTCTCAAGTCAAATCCTAAAGCCTATTTTTTATAGTAACACAGTTATAAATTACTGACGATTACCAAGCAAAGCTCACTTATAGCATTACAATCTGCTTTCCTGTAACATAATGAGCAATCTTTTACCCTCTTACATACTCTCGAGTCAAATCCTAAGCCAATTAAGGTTATGTTGTAACCCAGTTATGTATAAATTACTACAATACAATAAAATAAAAACTCTTCAATGTAAAGTTTCGACGGAACAAACAGCAAATTCTTAATTAGATATGCTGTTTCTTTTCCATGTCATTTTTTCTGTCTTAAAGTTAAGTTTTTATTCAAGAAATGTCATGATTTGTCTTACGCCAAATCATGCTGGTAATAATATAAAAATTGTCTCTTTAACTAAAATATTTGTCAGTCTTTCAACAGTAAAACAATGTTGTGTTGTTCTTTTTTCAATTCAATGAAAACATTTGTCATGTTTCATAGTGATTCTTCGGAAAAAATGAATTTGATTTGATGTATTGTAAAATATTCGTTAGAAAACGATGAGAAAAATGCTTAAATAATAATGCGATTTGATAATTATTGTAATTGATATGAATTATTAAGATAATCCAATCGAATATATGGGTAATAAAGTAAAACTCTTCTGATTTATTAAAACAATGATCTCTGTTTGGGATTTTTTTTCATTTTGAAGTATATTCAAACGCAACAGAAACCGCGCATAGGAATTAAGCATAATAATTTTTCGTATATTAAAATTTCAAATGCATTTATGGCCCATTTTCGTTAAAGAAACTGAGTCTAAACTGATTTCAGTTTGTAGACTAACTGGAATTCAATAAGATCAATGTGTAAAAGATTTCAGAATTTTCTTCAATAAACCGACATTAACCCTGATGTCACACAAACATTAATTGCATGAGATATCTTGTAGAGATAGTTTAATGCAAAATTCGAGGGATTTTCCAAAAAGCCACGAACAACAGCGTTTATATTTGACAGACTGCCAAAATTTTATACTGAAATATACATCATTTCATTGCTGAGTTTACATGCAAAACTTCAACACGACATCATTGAATGTAAATATACAGAACAAAATAAAAGACTAAAAGGTAACACAAATTCAATGCGGGTTACGCTAACAAGTCATAAATTCATTACCTTACATTTAATTTAATAGTATTATGTCAATGCTTCTTCTGTTCAAAGTATCTAGTCTATGTAGGATACACCTTTGATGTTAAGATACCTACTTACTCAAGACATATGAAATTTGTAATTTATAGTGTTCAGCATATTGAATATTTCTCATTTTGTTTTACACTTCTAAGATACTGCAGGAAGTTTGTCTGCATCCGTTGACCTTTTCAATTTTCCCCACTGTTAATGATCGCTTGACTACGGTATCCAATTTGTGTTGTTTTGTTTTTGTCACCTATTACATGATTTTAAGAAGGCATTAACACACTTACGGGCGCATATCATTCTTGCACTTTTTCTAAATTATTTAAATACTTTTCCATAAGAAAGACCACATATGTCACTCAGCACTACTAAACATCTGCTGGGCCACGTCAACATTAAATATTGCTATTTATAAGCGCTGCACATGAAATATAAGAAGCATTGTAAACGTACCTCGTTCAATTTCCTTGATATCATGCCATACATGTATAGCGTCAGAACTACGGTAACTGTCAAGATCTTAATTTAAGACATATTTTCTATGATTCTATCGTCATAGGCAACATTTTTCTACTCTGTAAGGTTTGTAAAACGACAATATGTGGTGTGAGCCGCATATGCTCATCTCAGGTCAATATTAATGTTTAAAAATCTGGAGTATGTAATGTTTCTAATTTTCATCGTTTATTGATTGAGGTCGGATAAAGGACTTAGTCAAACAAGACGTGACCAGTGATTGCATCAGAACATTTTTTATTCACACCAGCATAATTATGAGTCATAAAAGGTAATTAAATGTTATACAGCAATAAGTATTAAAACTTTGAAATATCCACATACACAGTTCCTTCTTCACCTGGGTATATTCTACGAGACCGGTTCAATTGGGGGAAAAAACAGCCTAAAAAGTAATTTATTGAGATATTCGCATCTTGGATAACTCCATATGGCTCACAAGAGAGTTTCCGATAGTATTATAATATACATAGCATGGAAAAAGTATTGCTGTCATTTACATTTGGACACCTGTTTGTTGATGTGTGTGTGTCACTGAAAAGACAGAAATAAACAGCCTGTCGGATTGTTTAAATGGAGGCATTTACACTCGATAAGCCAAAGATGTCCATAGTTGATTATTTAGCAGAATTGTGTATTGACTTTGATTTTAATTTGATTTAAAAAATATAATAACGTTGGTAGTTTAAAAACAATCATTGCATCCCAGCATTCTAATTTTCAAACAAACCACTTAGATTTAAACATAAATTTTATTCAGAATACTTAATCGTTTTTATTTATCAAAGATCATAAACATAAAATGCACAATTTAAAATTCAAGCTAAATAAACTCGTATATATTCTATTGTACTCCCATAAACATAATTTCGTTACAAATAAAATACAAGTGCCCAGCCCAAAAGGGCAAATAAAACACATTCAATATTGAATAAAAATAGATTGAGCATGGTTACATTTTAAATAGTATTACAAATGAGTAAGTAATATGTTTTTGAAATGAAAAGTGAAACTAACAAAAAGTAGGAAAAAGAGGTTATATAATAACCATACAGAACAAATGTTTTTGACGATGAGCATCATGTTTAAATTCATCATAGTTTAGATTAAATCAAACACATTATAAGTATCCAATTTGAAATATATTACAAAACTGAACGAATGGATATGCTTACGTATGGGAAATTGACCGTGATTCCTAACGGTTATGACGTCTAGTTACACTCTTTACCAAAAAACGATAAAACATATTGCTTTTAAAAAGCTAGTTGGGTTCCTTTTTAACATGTTATTATTTTTATAGGATGCCGTATTACCCCGCCAGCTATAGCTAAGTGACATACATGTACAATGCCTGGGGAAATCACTGAACATAATACGTCTTTGCTAATTTATCTTACCAAATAAATATGAAATTGTTATACATGTAAAACAGTTATAATTATAAATCTCACTCTCGATGTCGCCACAGCCATTGCTATGAATTTCTAAATTTGAATATGTTATAGCATTTATTATAAATGAAACACATTGGATTTTAATTTTATAATAAATATTATATCAAAATAGTTTTAAAAAGTCTAATTTGAATTCTATTTTCCAGTAAATATTATGTGATATGAGCAACAGCTACTGTTCGAATGGTCAACTATGTTTTAATTTGATAATTAAATAACAATACAAATTTAGCAGCATATTAATTCAGAATTTGATTTGCTAATTAAAAAATGAAAATACATCAAGAGAATGATCTTTTGTATGCCATGCACAGTAATCAGTTGCCATAAAATGTATTAACCAAAGATTCTCTTTTGAAAAATATAAAACATATAAAACGATTATGGTAGTTAAGCGAGTGTACGTATACTTTGCCACTTTTTACAAATTATTCGAGTCTATTGGTTAACGGCACACGACTAACGCATGTAAGTCACGCCGATGTGAACACGACCTTCTTAATTGAAAAGACAACCATCTGCCGACTTTGATACTTGGCCTTTAAGCGTGTTTATTCTGAATGTTAAATATGTGATAAATTGTATTTTTACTTAATATCCGCATTTCTATTGAACTCTTATTTATATTTACGTACAGATGGTTCTCATTTATGATTTAGTACGTGGAATTATTTTTACTTTTAGTAACATATTCTCTTACTGCAGCTGAAGAACAGATTATGGTTATGGTATTTTATGACTTACAAACTTTAACTGAAAAATGTGGGATCTGGAACAATAAGCAAGTGCTAGTATTCACGCGCAAAAAAACAACGCTCAATTTTGTAAAGTTCACTTAGTCAAGAACATCTGTTCGATTGCTTGTTTGCGATTTCTTTACCGTTTCCAGATGAACCAGTTAAGTTGAACATACGTACAATTCTACCATATTCAATTTTCAATTTTGCATAAAAAATCATTTTAAATAAATTTTCAAACACATCCGCTGTTTGATCAGGCATCTGTCATGTTAACTTTATGGAAATTATTTCACATTCTTAACCATTTAATGCAACATTTGCCTTTATCGTGATATTCCTTTCTTTTCTCTGTACTAATCGCAAGTGTCCCATATAGTTATAAATTCATTTGACCGATAAAAAGATGCGTAGAACATTTCTATGCAAGTTTTATGTTTTTCTTTGCGACGAACACGCCGCTCTATGCAATGAACACTGCTGTATAGCGTTAATCAAAAATGGCCGGTTAAACACCGAAACTAAAGTAGAAAGTTAAAATCGAATTCACTCAAGGTTATGTTTCAACTTATTTCTCTATCATAACAAAATCGACTTCTACAAGAGTGTCATTTCTCAAAGACAAATGACTGGTGAAGAATTTCCCACAATCATAACTTTTGAGACTGTCATGTTATAAACATTTTCAAACACAATCAACAGAAAAAAATGATGATAGAATATTGACGAAATATACAAAAGTTAATTTAAACAGATCACATTTTCACACCTACCCTGTTGGACTAATTTCTTTTTGAACCAGCGGGATACCAAATATCTCATGTGTCATGTAAAATGAATACACCAGGTGAAATATAATTTCGTCGGTGGAGTTATATAGTTTGTCTCATCTACATAATTACATTAATACAAAGAATAGTGCTGCTTCCAAATTACCGAATTTGGATTATGTTTAAATAAACAATAAACATGACAATAGCTAATTAGATTTTACAATGTAATTGGCTAAAAATAAAGGTTTTGGAAAATCTGAAGAAAAAAAATGGAAACGAAACTTGGTTAAGAATTAAAAGATATGACCTTGCATCTAAACAGTACATTTCAAACAAATTATTTTTTTGTATGACGAAAAATGCATTGTAAACATTCTGTTAAAACTGTATTATTTTATCATAGAGGTGTAATCATAGTTTGCAGATATTTTAGCTCATAATATCATACTTGTGAGTGTTTGATTGCTGATATGTAATTACATCTTCATGAAAACAACGATAGTGATTTTCATCTGCTTTAGCACTTCTTTTTTTCACAGCGTTTGATTTTAATACATTTACTTATGGAGATTTATAACATTCCACTCTGTACTTCCCACATGAATATGACTTTTCAAGTTATTTAGATGACTTTTTAGGCTAATGTTATTTTATCTGAAAACAAAAAACAAAAAAGAATAATAATATTCTCTCAAAATGATTAAATATGCGTTTGAAATATAAATATCAAACTTCGAAAATATCCTATAAATTTGATAAATGTTCCCTTTGGAACACATACATCTATCTTATAGGTGGAAATGGATTCATGTTCATTTAAAAAATAATTACGGTATATCATGCCTCATTTGATTTGCATTTTCTGTCTGTTAAACGATTAAAAGAAGTTTTATTTCGTAGAGAAAACAAAGATTACAAATAAGATTACCTTTAACTTATATTTCCTGTTAATTGAGCGACAGACCTGAAATCAAATCCCAAAGTATGGGACCATGTGTCAATGATGTATGCCAAATATCAAGAGGCTGTGATAAGTAGTTGCTGAGAAAACTGTTACGAAAATTTACTACCATTGACCATTTATGTTGAAAATTTAAATATATATTTGTCATAGATAAAAAAATTGATATATATACATTTTTTTTTAAAAGTGAGATCAATTTCATGAATTGCATTGGCTTTCATTGCCAGACCTAGGAATAAAACAAGATAACACAAGCTATTGGTATGTAACTTTGTTTATTACCTTCTTCATTTACAACTTGGATAATGTGTTCTGTGTTCCTCTGCGGGGTCATCCGCTTCTGTAAATCCATAAAGCCTCCCTCCACATTTGTAGCATTCAACCATATCATTAACTGTCGTTCCGTTCACAGTATATACACCTATATATCACAAAGATATTAAAATAAACGATATATGAATTTAAGAGCAATTATGTGTACTTCTAAACATGGTCGCATTGTGTTGCTTATCTTTCTTTACTTTTTTCTAATATCATGCGTGTTTTGATAAATAATTTCAATTATTTGCTTGAAATGAAGGTACACTGTAGTTAAATGTCAACTATCGGCTGTTGTGCGTCATTGTCCGCATATTGACAACATTAGCTCTAAGACATCTACATTGCAAGGATATCCCTTTATTAGAGATATAACAACGCATATAAATGAGATAAATTTTAAAATATCGCTTTATAATGTTACATACTAGGCAGAAAATACATTTACTATGGAAGGAAGGCCAAGAGTAAAAAATATACCTAAACCTTTATTAGATCTTATTCATGGCATTTCTTGCATAGCAAATATGTACGTACTATACCCTACAACGCTACCATTAGCGAAATAATGAAAACAATATGAGCATTTTCCTCATAAAATGACATACTCTGGATTTTTAATTTAACTGAAAGTTGTTTTAAATGTATCAATCATGCCTCTAACGTCCATGTTCAGGGATAAAACGAATGATATCGTGTAGCATTTAGTTTATTAATCGTTTATGAAATACACTTAAATCATATAAATATTATATAGGAAAGTCTTTTACCATTCGTTTAATACATTCTAGTGGTGAGTGTTAAATACATTATGATCTTGAATCATGCACTTTTGTTCAAAACCTTAAATCTTAGTGTGCTGAAAATGATTTTATAAAAGAACATCTTCGATATTTGTAAGACTCCATAAAACATGACCATACATGCCGATTAATCTATAAGAACTTATACCACGTATTCAAGAGAAACATTTAATTTATTGCTTATTTATGTATCAAAATATATTTTGATTTACCTTTGAAAATGAGACCTGCACTGGCCATCATTTCAGCAGTTGGATTTGTATGTGGCCAATCTACCCGTTTATCAAAGAAGGTTGCTAGACGCATATTAACATCCTCAAACTTATCTTCACCACGGATTGATGACTTTTGTATAGAGGATCCGGATAAGGCAAGAGTTCCTTCAATGCATGTTTCTTCGTTTACATATGGTCCACTTCCCTGCTGTCTTATATTCTCGTTTGCCATAATAACAGGTCGTTTTTGTCCAGTGTATGCTGCCATCGCATTGTAATCACAGTCAGGTCTTCGTCGAATAGAATTTTTTGCCTTTGGTTTTCCTGACGGAGCAATTGCTTCTGGGGAGCCATAAGGGTTATGTTCTTCTTCAGCAGAATCTGACCCAGAACCTTGGTCATTAAGATTTTGAGAACATTGATAAAGCTCGAAACCTTGATTTTGGCTACTGATACAATTTAATGTAGACTGCACTTGAGACCTTTCCGGCGGAAAACACACTTTATATGTTTTTTCAAAGCAAGCAATGTTTCTCACTGACTCGCGCGTTTCATCTTCTCTAATATAGAGAAGACTTGCGTTGTCTGTTTCAACACATTCAGTTAAGTCTTTATTTGTAGAAGCCATATTTTATTGCTGCCTCTGTAAATAAAACATATGTACAGTTTATCATTCACTTATTTAATCATATCAAAAAACCTTAAATATATACTGTCTAAGAACGGATTAGTCTTCTTGGATTGGATGACACATTTAGAATTTTCACAATTTACTGAAATGGAGCATTAAATCTATTCAATTATTACCTAGTACCATTCAAACAATAGCCTGTATTTATAAATAAAGATAATATTTCACTGGTGATGTTTGTTTGGACCTATCTCCGCAGTCACTTAACCTTACAAGTTTTACTAAATAAAGAAATAGTAATTTTAATTCCCGACTGGTAAAAATAGAAAAAAAAACTAATTAATATCCGATATCAGTTTTCATGGAGGGATTTCTTCTTGTGCTAGGGTCGAAACAGCTTCACCTGGACTACAATCCATGTGCTCACCAATTAGCTAAGGAGGATAATTTTAAAATTAGAAGTAGAGTTCACATCAAAGTTAAGTCTAATGGCGGTAAGATAAATTATTTGTATAGGACAAATGTTACAAATTTAAATTGTGTTACCGTATATTTAAATGAAAATGATATTGTTAAGTTATTGTGAGATATGAATATTATCATAATACTTGATCTAATAAGCACGTTTTTTATACTTTTAATAATAATTGCAAAGTGGTACAGAAATACACAATTTTATCTGTTTATAACTTTTAACTTTAAAATTAAAACTCTGTTGGCGTTCCATTTTTAAGACAATAAATACGTACGAAGAAGAAAAATTACTCAATATACATATGCGTATTTACAATATAAAGTTAATTTCATTTTTTTATTTTGCTGTAAAACGTATGTTTGAGACAACGATAATATATTAATATGTACATTTTGTTTATAGAGCTAATTCGCAATCGTATAAACTTCAAAACATTAAATTTGTTACAAGCTTATTAATTAGCGTATAAACGTTTTATTTACTGTTATGTATTCACGACAAGGTTTATGTAACTTTATTTAAAGCATTCAACGTAGTATGTCAATTTTACTTCCTTATTTGAGTCATGATTTAATCGAAAAATCGGTGACACAATTATTTCAATAGACAGAATATTTCACAAAAATATCTTTACAATCCAGGCACGGATCCAGGATTGGTAAACAAAATAACAAGAGGCAATGCATATACCAGATCTCACTAGTTTTCAAAGTAGAATATGTTCTGCCATAAGTTATGGTTTTTAATAAAATATATTTCTATTAATATCATATATCATTATATTACTAAAATATATAGTTGGTAAAAATATCAGAGATATTTTAATTGTTACCAAATAACAGAAGAAAGAGGAGGCCATGACCCCTTGCGAACCCCTTCCGCTCTATAACTATTCGTTTCATTCGTTACAAATTATTCATATATGACATATGAGAAATAAATTCGTATGGTGAAAGGCATTGGAAAAGAAAGAATTCAATCTTTTTATCATTTTTCTGTTTGCCCGATATGAGTTTTTTGTTGTTTTTTTTACTTTCGTTTTCGTTTTTTCGATCACAATGTAACAAAATTATAACACTTAAAAATAATTCATTCTAAGTATACTTCTCAACGTGTTGGTATTGGTTTCAGTAAAAACGATTTTTAATTCCTTACCTGCTGTTATTAAATCCAAAGCGATAATGAATACCTTACAAGTAGATCCATGTCATATAACCAACAACTGTGTTATGATTGGCTGATTATCAGCTACGGTTTAACAGTGTAGATAATTTATCTATCAACAGTGTAGATAATTTATCTATCAACAAAGGTGTTTAAGGTTTATATTAATAAAAAGTTTATTTGAGACATTAAGGGGTACATATAAATGAAGATTCTCTTTCCTTATAATTTGTTTGCACTTAAACTATTAAAATTGGCAATTCATTGTTTCACGGATATGATTTGATCTATATCAAATATAGCGCTAGTTTAATCGGTAATGTTTGCATTTTAAACATATTGTGAATGTTCGTAGTGATAATCGGGAAGAAAAAATGTTAAAATATATAGCAAGGGAATCAATGAAATAAGAACGAAAATGCACTGATATGATCATAAATCTTTTTAATGTATACGAATACTGATCCGTTATTTTTCAAGTCGTATGAATATTAAATGAACACTATTATATACATACATATATAAACATAATTATATAGATAGAGAGCTACGCATTTTGGGTTCAGCTTTTGACATCAGAGTGCGTAACACAGGAATATATTCAATTTTTTAAAATCAAACAAACGACTGCACTTTGTGGTCATACAAATTAAATCAATACAAACGAATTTTCGAGATATTTTAAAGTAGTATCTTACAAACAAGAAATGAAGTAGCCGAAATGCATTATGTCGGATGAAAATAGCAGTGTATTCTATTTTGTTATATCAAGGGATTGAAATTTGAAACGAATTATAATTTTTATATGCAATTATATGTCTCATAGAATAGAGGCCTTAAATTAAGATATACTCGTATAAATATGTTTGATGTGCATTGGGTGTGATAATACCTTTTCTTCCTTTCATATCAGACATGCCTATTTACTGGATATACGGTATAAGGAAAACATGTCAAACACGCCCTGTTTAAGAAAACTCACGTGCTTTAAATGACGTTTTAAAATTTAAATGACGTTTTAAAGCCTCGTTACGGCCGTTTACAGTTACACTTCGAGCTAGATATTCCGGTCTCTAACGGGAGACGGTGTAAGATTCTTTAAAGAGATTGCAACACAAAATGAATTTATTTAAAGGCATTAACTGATCGAGAGATCTTGGTCATTCCGTGAAGATGTAATTTGTTTAACAAACTTTAGTGTCTTCTAAAATATTAATGACTTTCAATATTATATACGTTTTCATTATCGATATCATGCGGATCACATGTTTAGGATATCGAACATTGTCAAATAGTCTTTTAGAAGAAGTAACAGTTGTAACCCTTATGTAACTTTACTATGATAAACTAACTTGTCACAAGTCATTTAAACAAAATTCGAATTGTTTGAAAAGAAGATGCATAGAAATGATATTTACTGCACTTTATTACATCCCAATCATATTAAATTTAGGGTTCAATTTAGCACAAAAACTTATCATTGACATAAGAAAATAGTTGACAAAACAGAATGCTCTTCAAAATATCTGTTATTTTCAGAAAACATTAACACTTCAAATTATTAGTTATAAAGACACAAGTTGTGGGACATTTAAAGTTGTAAATGTAGTCTGAAAGTAACAGTATGTTACGATGCTTATTCGGAATGACTGCTACTTAAGTATTTAAATGGCATTTAGTAAGATTGAGTGCGAAGTGGGGTATCGACCTTCAACTTAGATATTTCCAGGTTGCATATCGAAAGTTCGTCATACCATGGTATTTAAGAAGCATTTAATTTGCATCTTCAAAACACTGGAATCCAACGTGTGTTTTTCGTAGCATATTACTTAAGGCATTTCGGGTTCATTTCTCGATTTTTACTCAAAGTGTGTTCAAACCCAAAAAGCACTGTGAAGTTAACCGCACTTTTGGTCACTCCAAAAAGTGTTCTGCGTAAGATAAAAATATACATGGCACGACATGATGTATTACATAACTTTTTGAATAAACGTTTTGAAACATTTGATAAAAATTATCTTATATCGCCTCATTCCTCTCGATACTTCATGGTTCAGCGCGCTTTTATTAGTGTTTTACAAAAAAAAAAAAAAAAAACAGATTTATCACGTCGCAAACTTATGGCATTTCCAGTACCAAATTTAATACGGAATTGTCAGTCTGGGGTTATATACTTGTTTTAATAAACGAGTGTTAACATCAACCAGTCGCATGTCATTACCAAAACTATTCCATTTTAGCGTAGCAACAAAATGATTGATTTCATACCAACTGACAATGGTTAGCCGTTCTGATGAATACAATATAGTTTCAAATGTAAAAAAAAATGTGTTTAATAATATAGAATGATGTCAGTACAAGTAAAGTCAAAGCCAAATCAAATGTGTACTTATTTTTTTAAACAAATCAATGCTAGGTTATTCCCTATTATATTTGAATTCCATATAACTTCTGACATATTCAAATGCATCAGATAAATATGTCCACGGCGTAAGTACGGTTAAAGAAATTTGATTGACAGGAACATATGGCAAAGACTGAAACCAAGTAAGAAATTGTGTGCCATTAAGTGCCGATTAGTATTAGAAAAGAATAGCAATTTAAGAACTTATGGGGCGGTAAGAACGGCGTGTCAACTTTGACGTGTAATATACTCACTGTAAGAATAGGGTTTTCGCAATACACCAGAAGTCAAGACAAGATAAAACGCGATACGCTAGGACTGTATACTATCGTCATGCATATATGAACAAAAGTATTATTAATAATGATATGACATTAATTTCATTTTAAAATTTGATTAAACTTTTAACTCTATTTCTAACTAATAAACAAGTAATAAAGTAATACAAAATTAATAATGATTAAAATATCTCTGTTTATTTGAGAAGCATTTTGACTACATTAGAATTAGAATGCTTTCAAATGCACAAAAATCTCTGTTTAACAATAGTATTTTTCATGTAGGAATATACAGGTCCTAATTGTTATTCAAATAAACTATTCTTATAAAGTATCATATCAAATATTAATCCTCACGGCCTACCTTATCGGTGGTAACAAGGTATTTGGCTAAAATGTATAGACGACATTAACATGTAACTACTAATAAATCAGCCAATACATTCATTGATCCACAAAACAAGGGGATCATTTTGTACATTTATTTGAGATGTCACTTTATATTTACAAATTTCGTCCTTCCTAGGTTATATTCACCGCGGGAAACTTCTAATACCACCCTGGGGCACAACTCCATATTCAGCAAATGTTTAAGTTTAGCTGTAACAATAGTTTAAAATTTGTATTTGATTTTTAAAGAATTATACATGCATATTGTATTCCAAAATTATAGAAATATAGAAATGTATAAGAACATCTTGTGCTGTTTTTGTTAAGTTTATTGTTTATTGTTTTGAGCGAAATTAAATGTGTATTCTCATTTCTATGACTGCGTACTAAATAGTGTACTTGTTTGTCTTTCGGTATACGCTGCGCCAGTTCTCGTGTTGTCACGCCGACAGCCATGTGATATTTTTATAATATTCCTATGTCTGGAAAATAAAATCAATTCATTTCTAAATAGTGATATCACTTTAAAGCTTTTTTGTGGCTTTTATTTATTAATCATAGAGTTTTATACATTTAAAACATGCAGAATTTTAAACTGGTAGATTTGTAAAATGTCTTTGAAATATTTATCAAGTTCTTCTCCTTTAAATTGTTTTAAGGCAGAAAATAAAATATGCAAAATAGTATGTTTATCATATCAAACATTTCAAATGCATCCAAATCAAACATTTTAGATGTATTACGATTCAATACTTATTAAATGAATGAATTGAAACGAAAGAAATGAATAAAACAGATGACAGTCAAAATCATGATTTTCTTGAGTATGTAATCACATAAAATTCGAATAAACAGTCTTAATCTGTCGGCAAACTATGAGTACAGCTCTGTGGTGAAACAAATACAAATATTGCTGCAATGCAGCAATTGAGAAGCTCCGCGCAAAAAATGCGCTCATTACAGATACCTTATCAAATCATTCCTACACACAAGTAATTTTCTATTTAGATTAATACTATTTATTGTTCCGGATTTTTGTAAATCATATAAATTCGCATAATTATACTTATCCTTAGACTGTCCATGACAGAGGGGCCAGATATTAGATTTTAAAAAATATGCTTTCACTGATGCCTACCTGATTAGAAAAGTAATTTTAATACAAAAAGACTTACAAGACTTGTTATTTGACTGACAGCAGTGCAACATTGTTCTGTTTGTGTAGTCAGTAATATTAGATGATAAAAAATATCAAAGCATGTACATTTTCATTTATAATGCTATTCATTTTCTACAAATATTAACACCTAATCATGGTAAGAAATATAAAAATCCATGTGTAAATAAGCCAAAACAAAAACTTTCATCGTCCTTATTTTTCAAAATATCTATTACATATGTTTCGCGGCAAATGGTATATCATGATATCACTAGAAAAGCATTGATGCACAGCATTAAAAAGCGTCCAAGCAAGAAATGCAGCAAGTGACGATGAACTGAGAGAAATTTGATGACTATATTTTCTGTTCAATGGTTAAATGGATTTCACCAGAATTGTTTATCATAGATGAATGGATGGAAGAAAGAAAGACATTGTTCATCATGAACTTTTGTAGGCTTGCTAGAGATAAGAATATTAAAATTAATGTATTTTCTTTGGAACATACAAAACAGAAGTAAAAATAAACAATGTTTTATTTTATTATAACAAATGTACAAACAGTATATAAAAACAGTTACAAAAGGGACTAATATAGTAATATTTCATGTCAAATTTACAAAAAAGGTTTCTAATAGTACAGTAGCTATAGTTTAAGTCCAAGATATTATAATGAAAGTAGAACACACACTGGAATGAAAAATTTGGGATGAATTGCAAAAATACCAATTTCAGAATTTTTTGGTATGTGCGTTAACAAAAAATAATGGTACGATAAAAATCATGAATACATTTTGCATGGCATGTTGTGATATGGTGAAACATTATTTAT